AGTCTAGTTGCACCAAAATATGCTTCAGTTTGGATTTTTTTGTTTATGTGAGCCCTTTTGAGTTAAATGAAAAATGCCAGGTGAACCTACCAAATTGCTCAATTTACGAAATTTCATCAGGAAGACTGAGCACTCAACATCTCGTGGTCCAGAATTCTCAAACATCCTGGGCATTATCAGTCGTCACCTGTTACCTGGGAGCAAAATGAACCCTGATTCAAGTTCTACTTTATTCCAGACTTAATTTTCAATGTTCTATTCTAAGCCATGAGTCATTCTAAATGAAATTGTGTGTGATTACATATTTCTTTACATACTTTAAAAAAATCTTGATTTTCTTTCTGCACATGTAGAAGTCAAATAGATTTGTTTTAATCCCTTAACTGCCATAAATATTTCTTTAACCATCACGTATCTCTAGTTATACATTTGCAAAATTCCAGTCAGATATTGACATTATTTGCTCAAATGATTCTGTTAACATTGAGATATTGGCAGAGATATTCACAGTGAACATAGCGGCCAGCATTCTTATGTTATATTAAAAATATCTACAACGACACCAGTCATTTGTAATTTTCAGAGCACGTCTTCAAAGGAGGTGAACATCTAGACTCCTGGGGTCACCATGCTTGCCTTCCAGAGCATCATTGTTTGAAGTTATCTATCTAAGAGTTTAATATTAGTCTTGGTACCTAATAACAGTTTGTGTTAATATCCACTCAAGATCCTTGTACATTATCCTGTTATTTCTCTCTCTAAGTGCTTTATTTGACATAAAGGAAATCCATATCTGACAAAAGCTGAAGCTTTCTGCTTTGATTGTATGTGTCGTGGCTGTCTAAATATCCCACTGGGACAGAAAAAGTGGACTATCACCTAATTAACATGTGTTCATAGAAGCTCTAAGCCTACTGTACCTAGAGGGCTAACTAAACGTTAATAGTATATAGCATTCACGTCCTTAATTATCCTTGCTTTGGTATTATAATTCCTGGACGTTATATTATCAAATTAACCTTGCTAAAATGCAAACTACTCATAGAAATAGAGTTATTTGTAGGAAATGGATGGAATGGGTGAATGGTTGCAGGATTCAAAATTTCCACTTATCACTTGCCCTGGCGCGTAGATAAGCACCTATAGGTGGGTATGTTATGGCTTGCAAAGGTGAGTAGAATAGAACAAATGTGTTGCAGGGAAGAGTAAAATAATAATCAAGGCATGGCTGTTAGTTGATAGGTCTAGAGAAGACGGAAAAAATAAAACTATCAGAATTAGGGGCTCTTTAAAGGGACACTATAGGCACCCAGACCACTTCAGCTTATTGAAGTGGTTTAGGTGCAGTGCCCCTGTCAGTGTACCCTGCCATGGTAATTATTGCAGTCATTGAGAAACTGCAATAATTACTTTGCAGGATTAACTCCACCTCTAATGGTTATCAACCAGACAGCCAATCGAAGGACTCCTGGGCCGTTAGGAAACTTTTGGTCTCCTAGCGGACACTGGAGGTCCTAGCAATTGCTCACCACCCATGTGCGTTAGGTCCCAGACATCAGCCTGCATCGGGGCATGAGGAGTAAAGGCGAAAGGTGACCCAGCGCTGGAGTGAGGTAAGTGAGCAAAGGGTTTTTAATCCTTTCAACCCCGGGAGGGGAGAGGGTAGGAGGGTGCAGGGGTGTATGCAAGGAGGGCACTATAGGCTAAGAATACAGTTTTCTATTTCTAGCCTACAGTTTCCATTTAAGGTGCACTTACTATCAGTTTGGATGAAGAATCCAGAGGAGAGATTTTATCTTGCCAAGAAACCCTTTTTACTCCTTCTCCCTGCCTTGCCTTGTCCATCACACATTTTCAGTACGTTTCTCTGTTTTAAATTTGTGTAAAGAATTCAATGTCATCTATTCCAACGGAGATCCAACAGATACCCCATTAGCCAGAGGTCAATTTCACACTCATATTGAATATACCTGCATAATTGCCCATTCCTATGTCCCTTATGGGACAGTTTGGTTAAATATTAACAATCCCTAATAAATGCAGTCTTAAATAACTTTCCCAAGGGCACAGCCAAAACGGAAAGCAATCTCACACACCTACCCAAAGAACAAATGCAAATCCCTGATTATTCAGTGTATTAATGCTGAATCCGGGATGTGATTACATTTTGAACAGCACAGAGTCTCGTTTCATGCCTCAAAAAGCATGCTTTTCAAGCAATTACATTTTTCTTTTAATCAAATAATGTCCATGCTTAAAACAAGACGTTAAATATAATTATTTTGATACTATTTTTACGGTATTTATTTAAACTGACGGCCAAAGTAGCTGACCTAGAAGCATAGCTTTCTGGGAACATTTTTACAGTTTGGCAAATTTGGTTTACACTCGGATACATGCAAACAAATTGACCGATGCATTTTACGACCACTTCACACTTCTTAAATTCCATATCCTCTGAACCAATGGAAATAGAGATGGCTACCTTTTTGTAACGGGTGCTGGTATATTTGATAATTCTAGCTGCAAAGAGCTTTGATGAATCAGAACATTCTTATGTAATCAGGAGCTTATAGAACAACTGACAATATGAGACACATCAATGATGCAACGTAGATACACGTAGAGTCTAGAGATGCCGTTCCTATCTATCTGCATGAAGACTAATCTATTTATGGTCCCAGAAGTGCCCTAGCGTCTCCCTATTGTAAGTAGCCAAGTCATTTCAGGATGGTTTGACTACTTACCTGGTGTCGGTCGGGTTTCTCTCCTTCCGCAGTCAATGACTTTGCCCTGCAGGGCTTAGCTCAGAAGAGTTAATGGAAGTCAGTGCTCCTCAACCCTCTCCTCAAGGCACACCTAACAGTCCTGGATTTAGGGATTACCTGAGTGTGACAGAGGTGTTTAGAAAAAGAAGAAAAAAACCTTAGAGTCTAACTTTGGAGTTACACACAGGTATTCCCTAAATCCTGGACTGTTAGGTGTGCTTTCTGGAGAGGGTTGAGGAGCACTGACTTCCATGCCTAAATAGAAACAACTTCTCTGGTTCAGGTAGTGGAGGCGGAGAGCGGTGAAATCCAGGTAAGAGGCAAAACGGTTCTAAAGCATTTTGACCACTTACCATTGGGGGGCCTCAGGACACGCCATGCACCATAATCACTACAGCATGTTGTGCGTGGAGTGTTTCTTTAACATTTTGCAATATCAGCTTGCTGAAATCTGGAGGAGAATGAAGTACCTAGACAACAACCTTCAACTAAAAAAAAAATAGACAAAAAACACAAAGGCCAGCATGATGTAAGCTTGTATCTGTGAAACGATAAGTCATAATTCTGGCTAGATTCTTATACAGCTCATACCAATGACCGCATTTCATATGTTTATTTAGTTATTGTATTAAATAGAATAAAATATGGCTGGTAAACATTATTCATTTTTAATATGAAAAATATATAACAATTTCAGTATATTTTATATAAAAAAAAAAATTCTCGTGTGTGGGAGAATGAATAATTTGATTTGGCTCTCTAAATGCACACTAGTATTTAAAAAGATATTTAAAAATTTATTTCAGTGGATTGCAGGGAATATGCTTATATGGCGGGAAGATGTATGTAACAATTAGAAAACGAAAAAGTTTATTTAAACACAAATAGAGGGTAAAGGGAGACTGCAACCACCATCACAAATTTTATGTATAAGATATCCTTTGCATACATAATTAGATGTATTTTTGCATTCTCAGTTTAAATGAACACCATGGGATCAGTAACACAAACATTTATTCCTGAACCTATATTGTTAAAAATGCCATCTAGCCCCCCTTTCTCCCCTAAATATAGTAAAATCTTACTTTTATTCCAGTCTGCTGCTGTTGGCTCTGCCCCTTATCTGCCTGCTTGGCTGACATCATCAGAAGTGATTCTCTGAGCCAATTACAATGCTTTCCCATAGGATTGGCTGAGACTGTCAAGGAGGCAGATCAGGGGCAAAACCAGCACAAGCCAAACACAACCCTGGCCAATCAGCATCTCCTCATAGAAATGCATTAAATCAATGCCATCTCTATGAGGAAAGTTCAGTGTCTCAATTTAGAGGGTGGAGACACTGAATGGCAGTCACACTGTGCAGCACTGCCCCAGGAAGCACCTCTAGCAGCCATCTGAGGAGTGGCCAGTGGAGGTATCCCTAGGCTGTAATGTAAACACTGAATTTTCTCTGAAAAAAACAGCCTGAAGGGAATGATTATACTCACCAGAACAAATGCAATAAGCTGTAGTTGTTATAGTTACTGTAATGTCCCAATGTAGTTTTTACAAATTAGATAAATCCATGAATAGTACACAGCATTCTGGATCTAAACCCACGCTCATTCTACAAATACCTAAATCTTGCTGGTTCCTGAACAAGGTTTGCTCCTGAAATGTTTTTGGGAGTTGATCAGCTTACAAATTTCATAAATAAAAAGCTGATAAATAAATGAGTAACTGAAAATAAACTGCTCTGAGCAGACTGAGGCTGCTAACAGAGAGTTTGGAAATCTGTTAGTCACCTCCATCTACACAATCTACAGACACGCAGGCAATTTGAGAATTGACAGAGTTTAGATGTGAGTTACACTCTCTTTGCAGGGATGTATTAGCCGAGAGGCAAACAAGGCATTTGCCTTGGGCAGCATTTTCCAGGGGGCGGCAAAAAAAGCTGCCCCCAAAAGCCCAGGGCAAATGTCTTGTTAGCCTTGCCGCAAACTAAAAATCCGGGCGGGCTCATGGGCGGGCAGGCGGGCTGGCTGCTGGGCGGGCAGCGAGGGAGCACTTTCCCCTGAGCTCTCTGTTCAGCTCCCTCGCGCGCCACAGAGTGATGCCGGGAGCCGGAATATGACATCATATTCTGACTCCCAGCCTCACTCTGTGGCGCGCGAGGGAGCTGAGCAGAGAGCTCACTAATCAGTGCTCCTTCGCCAGCGCTACCCACCCACCCATTAGCCCGCCCAGCAGTCACTGGACCCCCAGGTAAAGGAAGAACCCCCCAGCATTCCCAAAGGTAAGGAGGCTTGGGGTTTGAATTTAAAAACAAAAACAAAAGTGAGTGTTAATGTGATTGAGTGTGTGTCTGTTAGTGTGTGTGTGTTAGTGAATGAGTGTGTGTCTGTTAGTGTGTATGTGTGTGTGTGTGTCTGTTAGTGTGTGTGTCTGTTAGTGTGTGTGTGTGAGTGTGTGTCTGTCAGGGAGTGTGTCTGTTAGAGAGTGTGTTACTATGTGTGTGTCTGTTAGTGAATGTGTGTGTCTGCTAGTGACTGTATGTGTCTGTTAGTGAGTGTGTATGTCTGCGGCGCGCGAGAGAGCTGAGCAGAGAGCTCACTAATCAGTGCTCCCTCGCCAGCGCCGCCCGCCCAGCAGCCAGCCCGCCCGCCCATTAGCCCGCCCAGCAGTCACTGGACCCCCAGGGAAAGGAAGAACCCCCCCAGCATTCCCAAAGGTAAGGAGGCTGGGGGGTTGAATTTAAAAAACAAAAACAAAAGTGAGTGTTAATGTGAGTGAGTGTGTGTCTGTTAGTGTGTGTGTCTGTTAATGTGTGTGTGTGTGTTAGTGAGTGAGTGTGGTCTGTTAGTGTGTGTGTCTGTTAGTGTGTGTGAGTGAGTGAGTGTGTGTGTGTGTCTGTTAGGGAGTGTGCTACTATGTGTGTGTCTGTTAGTGAGAGTGTATGTGTGTCTGTTAGTGAATGTGTGTGTCTGCTAGTGACTGTATGTGTCTGTTAGCTAGTGTATGCGTGTCTGTCAGTGAATGTGTGTGTATTTAGAAGGCGGGGCAGGGGGGAAGGGTGGGGTGGCGCGGGGGGCTGGGGGCGCCTGAGTTTTGTCATGCCTAGCGCAGCACAAAACCAGGATACACCATTGTCTCTTTGATAAACCTGTCAAATCTCAGCAAAGAGACTTGTGTAGTTTGTGCTGTATTTCCACTCTAACCCTATGATGGGTTAAACTTGTCCTTCAGTTCAGACTCTGTAGACCAGAATTAGAGAGGTCTCATTGGTCAAACTACTTCCTGGTTAGGGCAGAGCTTAAGGTTTTTATGTTTCAGGATTTCTTTCAAATTCAACAACTTAAAATACAAGCCTTTTTATTTATAAATTTATTTTGGTTGTAGTTTTTGCATATATTTTTAATGCATTATCACTGTCAAGTAATTACTACCCTGTTTCCCCGAAAATACACCCTACCCCAAAAATAAGCCCTAGCCGGATTATCGGGGTGGGCTGCAATATAAGCCCTACCCCGAAAATAAGACCTAGGCATTGCACCTTTGCGGCCTGGCGAGACTTCCTTCTTCTACCGTATGAGGAGGGGGGGGAAAAGCGTTGCGGGCCGCGGCATCGCGCAACGTGATGACGACCTTTCGCAGCGCCGTCAGTCTGCCTTCACGGATCTTCAGCGGAAGGATCCATTTCCGGGCGGTGAGGCACCCAGTGGTCGGACTCGGCGGGCAAGGAATCTTTGAAATGTGAGTAGATATTTTATGTCTGGGACTGAATTAATTAAAGGGGGGGGTGTGAATTAATTAAAGGGGGGGTGAATTAATTAAAGGGTGGGCTGGATTAATTAAAGGGTGGTGGATTAATTAGAGGGGGGTGGATTAATTAAAGGGGGGTGGATTAATTAAAGGGGGGGTGGATTAATTAAAGGGGGGTGGATTTATTAAAGAGGGGGGTGGATTAATTAAAGGGGGTGGAGAAAAGTTGTTTAAATGTTGTTCAATGTACATACCGGTACCGTAAATAAATAAGCCCTACCCTGAAAATAAGCCCTAGTGTGTTTTTTGTGACTAAAATTAATATAAGACCCGGTCTTATTTTCGGAGAAACACGGTAGCCTAAAGTGCCCCTTAATTAGCTATAATATACTTCCAATCAGCCCTGGATCCAGCAAGCCTGTCCATATTTTGGACTTCTGTCCCACCATGCTGGGTTGGTTTACTGGTGTCCTGCCTCCAGAGACAGTGGAGAACTGTCCCCAGCATGCACAATGTGAGCTTATCATTAGACACACTAACACCTTGCTGAATTTTGTCATGACACTAGGACCATGTACATCAGCCTCTGTGTATGACCTGCCCTGACTGGTAACATCTAGGGGGCTGTCAGTTAGCCTTGCGTACAGTCATGACGGGTTGACACCCCCTTTCTATGGATGGCCCTGGCATTTAACAATAGGCCTGCCCCCCGCCCCCCTTGTTTTGATACCTCCTAATGTTCAGAGACACGCACTTAATGCTAAATGATGTATAAAGTGATAACTAGGTAAATAATGTTGAAACCTCAGCAGACAGATAGCAAACAGACCCATGCCCAAAGGAAACTCCACACCACATTCCCAGGTACCCCAAGAGTGTCTTAGGTAGGGTGGGTTTACCATACTGTATACACCCGAAAGAGAAGTACTTACTAAAAATTGACCTACTGTGGAGAAGGCTGAAAACATAATTCATGGGCCGGAGTCAATTTATGCCAAGTGAACATAACATGTTTAGCTGATAATTCGAGGATTTTACAATTATCATGACGGAAAGTCATGATTTTATTAAAGACACGGAGGCGAGTATTATGCTGCTCTCTTTCTTTATTACCCTCAGCAGCAAAGAATACATTATTGAAGAAAAATAAACATTTGAACTAGGTATAACATCATAGTGACAATGTCCGCCTAGTAACATGGCCATCCAATCAGTGTCGTCCTTCTCCTATAGTAGGCGGAGCATTGATGACCACTTCCTCTTTCTTTCTTGCGTATCCCGAAGAATAAACTCAAAACTCGGAACAGGAAACCAGATAAACCAACGAGCCAGAACAAGGTATGACACTCCAAGAGCTCCTTCAACCCAGTCATGCTAGAAGAGACAAGAAAATATGGTAATGTCTTGGACTGATGGGTTTTCATACATAGAGGTCCACACATTTGACTAAACAGTGGCAATAATTCATAGATGTAGTAAGAGGGACTACTGATCTGAGGACACTTGTGGCAATGAGTCTCAAATTAGATAATGTCCTAACGCCTGTGATGGCCTCAATATCACCAAGATTGAACTTACCATGGAGAGGTCTGTAACTTACCTTGCCCCACATCCAAGCCGTCCAAGGGCGGGTGGGTGGGATAATACTCGCCTCCGTGTCTTTAATAAAATCATGACTTTCCGTCATGATAATTGTAAAATCCTCGAATTTTATTAAAGACCCGGAGGCTCCTATTATGCTATTTTAAAGCTGTGATATCACGGCTTCTGCAAAATGTTGGATTGGTTTGAAATAGAAATTACGGAAGGTAGATTCCGCAGACCAATCAGCCGCCTTCAATATATCCTCTAAACGACAACCAGCAAAGGAGGCTTTAGAGGCCATGGCACTGCGAACCGAATGGGGAGAGAAAATGGAGGTGTCAATACCTGCCAAAGACATGAGCCATTTCACCCAGCGGGCCAAGGTTGGAGAGGAAACCGGAGCATGCGGTTTACGGAAGGAGATGAAGAGTTGGTGGTCTGACCCAGTCCGAAGGGGTGCGGTACGGGCTTCGTACGCCCGAAGGCATGCTACCGGGCAAAGGAGTGGCTTCGCATGAAACGCCGGGTACAGGACCGTCCGAGATGACGATTTCGTCCTCCGTGAGATGTCAAAGACCACTCCTTCTGGAGAGAAGGATCGGGCATTGACATCGAGTGCTCTAACATCTGACACTCTCTTGCAGGAGATTAGGCATAAGAGCATAACTAGTTTAGCGGATAGTTGTTTCAAGGATAAAGAGTCGTTGTCTGGCCATCGTGTCAAGAAATTCAATATTAGGGAGACGTCCCACAGGGAGGAATAGCGAGGTTGGGGTGGCCTTGCAAAGCGAATGCCTCGGAGAAGACGACAGACAATTGGGTGTCGTCCTATCGGGGCCCCATCAATGCCGGTATGGCCGGCCGATATGGCCGAACGGAAGAGGTTTACTGTCCTGTAAGCCTTCCCGTCGTCATAAAGGGATGTTAAGAATTGCAGGACTGTTGTCACAGGAGTTGATAGGGGATCCAAACCCCGTGCCATGCACCAACCATCCCATGTGCGCCAAGCAGACTTGTAAGACTGCTTCGTGCCGGGTGCCCATGAGCCCTCGAGAAGTCGGAGAGTCGATTGCGAAACTCCCTCGATCGACCAGGGTCCCCGGAAACCAGCCACGCCATGAGGCGGAGGAGCCCCTGACGGATCATGGGGTGGGGGTTCGCATCCGGGTCTCGTAGTAGAGATTGGGCATCCGGGAGGAGCCGCGGGCGATCTATGGCCATCTCCAGAAGAGGAGGGAACCAGGGCTGCGACGGCCATAACGGGGTTATTATCACCAAGCAGCCCAATTGGCGCCGTAGGTGGAGAAGACACCGAGGAATGAGGGCGAAAGGAGGGAAAGCATAGTTCCTGGTGGTTGACCAGTCTTGGGAGAAAGCATTCGTAGCCGAAGCCTTGGGGTCTGGCCTCCAACTGAAAAAGGTCGGAAGTTGGGTGTTCAAACGGGAGGCAAACAAGTCTGTAGCGGAATGCAGTAAGCCTGTCCTATAACCTGCCTGTGTGATTATCTTTTGTACATTCTGCCTGTGTTACTTCTCCCATTTCGTATGTTGTATTGTGTGAATATATGCTATTCGGTAGTTTCCATCCGTACCATATACGTATGGAAACTACCGAACTGATAGACCACCCCAGAGAGAAGTGTGTTGGTAATTAAGGTTGCATACCGTGAAAACCGCAAGTTAACAATGTATCTGGGTGGCCGCCATTCGGCATGCGTACACGTGGCGGCGGCCATCTTACGCATGAAAAGCTCAGCGGTGTTCGGTCGTCGAGTGTCTGGAACCCAAATCGGATACTCAAACAACCGAACATCGCTGAGACCTCCGGAGTTCCGTATCTGGCGAACGGAAAGTCTGAACAACTCCCCATTCGGTAGAAACAAAGTACCGAATGGGGGAATCAGTATCTAGGCGAATATAAGTGTAAAGGGCCAGTATCAATGTGTGTTTTAACTGCCGAACGGAGACCGACCGCAGGGCCCAAACTCATGGAACCCTTTTCGGATACCAACTCGTGTGCGGTCGGTCAAACTTCACCTCTCCATAACTGCCGAACCCCTGGTCTGATCTGGGTGAATTTTGGATATAATAGTCACCCAGATCAGGGCTACCTAGCGGTACCCTAATATTAAGGTTGT